ATGGTGTCATCAACAAATTGTAGATGTGCGACTATCGTATCTCCACTACCAATTGTCACTCCTTTATACCACTCCTTCTCCACTGCCGATGACACTAGTCCATTTAGCCCCTCTGCAACAATCGAGAATAAAAATGGGGATAGAGGATCATCAATTGTTCAATTGAATAAGTTCTTTTAATCTTTTACAACTTAACATATTTTAGAAGTACATTTTTTATATACATACATCATAGATTAAAGAAGGAAAATTTAGATGAAGGATGTATAATTTAGAGTTCTGAACCTATATCCAATTCCTCTACCCTCTAATATTTATTACTTGCCAATGTGCATTTTCAGTTTCTTTTTTCTAAATCTTTGAAATAAATATTGCAATAATACAATAATTGTCATTCGTATCGTATTATCTTTTAATCTTTAATTATAAATCATAATATAATCATTACAATTGAAATTATATTTTTCAACAAGAAATTTTTGTACATTCTAACATTTTTGCCTTCCATACTCACTTTCACTTTTATCTTACATTTGGATACTAATAACAATATTAAATAATACTAATAGCTCCTTAATCTTCAATTTTTTAAGGATTTTCTATCTAGTGTGCTAAGAGTGTTACTAGTACACATTTTTGACATTAAGTGATATTGAAAATAATAAAAGCTTATATTAATTTCATCACTTATACAATGCAGATCATTTAATTGAAGAATTGATTAAATAAATGTTAACTTTTATTTTTTTTAATAACAATTAATACTAAAAAGCGTTCTTAACCTATGCCCTTAAATTTTTAGAAAAACCCATTTTTTAATTCACTTCAATTTTTTTGCATACCACCACCTGCATTAATAAAGAGAGCACCATATTCAAATTGATAATAAATTGTTTTATTTATTTTCTTCATCATTATTTTTGAAATTAATCTTGACATAATACAATAATAATCATTTATATGTTATGGTAATTAATACACCTTTTTAACATTAATTATGTACCTCTTGATCTTCCATTATCAACTATGATATAATAATTATGATATAATAATTTTGATTGAAGTTACATTTTTCATTACTTAATTGAATTGTAATTAAATTTTTGTATATTCAAGACATTTTGCTTTCCATGCTCTCCTGCATCTATCTTCCTTTAAGTCTTCTTACTTTTGCATATACCTTAATTATTTCACCTAATGCATTAATATAGAGTGCACTATATATATGAATCATTTTTTGTCAAGTCCTCCATATTAAATTGTTAAATTATGAAATGTATTCCTTAATTAATGAATGAGGTTGCATTTTGTTATTATATAGGTAGATAAATTCATATAATATATTTCTAGTTTTTAATTCTTCATGGATTGTACATGTTTTCGTTTTATTATTTTTTTTATGTAATGAAATAAATTTAGGCATAATCAATTTTGTGGTTAAATATTTCAAATGATTGAAATTACATTTATGCATTAGGCTATAGATCAGTAAGGTTCTTTAAATACTTTATTTGATCAAACAAAGAATTAAATGATTAATTAGAGTTGAATTAATATAGGAGAGAAAATTGTTGAATAAATTATCAAAAGGCGTATTAAGTGGTGTCTTGTGTGGTAAGATGAATTAAATATCAATTTGAAATTTTGTTTAGTCTATCATAATACAATTCAAAGCTAAAAAATTCTCTCAATATCTAATGTAATTTAGTTTTGTCTTCTGACAAGTTGTCCCTTAAACTTTTGAAAATGTTAAATATAGTATATATATTTTTATTTTTTACAATATTTTGTTTTTGAAGTTCAAATTTTTTTGTCAAATATAATAATTAATCAAGATGAAATTTCAATTTACATTCATTAATATTCTAATTTTAATTTACAATAATCAATATTATAATTTAAATTTTATAATTTTTAAAAAATTTAATTATTATTAAATATTAATATTTTTAATATATAAACCTTTCCAAAATTTAATTTAATTAAATGAGCACCCACATATAATTAAAATTACCTGAAAATTTAAATTATGTAATTTAATTTAATAATGATATTAAGCTTTTTAAGAAATAATAAAATTTAAATTATTGTATTGATTGTTGTAAATTAAAATGATTATCTTAATTAATTATTACATTTGACATAAAATTTAAACTTCAAAAACAAATTATTGCTAAAAATATATATATATACTAAATTTAACATTTTTGAAAAGTTTAGGGATAGCTTGTCAACAGTCAAAAAGAATTCCGTTAGTTTACTTAACAAAATGTTTGTTAAGTAGACTATTTTGAAATAAAATTGATAGTTTATAAATCATTTTGAATGAAAAAATTATTTTTAGACTAAACTGAAATAAATTACATAGTTAATAAACTATTTATTCAATTTAACCCTTTGCAAATGATACCTTCTAGAAATTAGTAATTTAAATAGAAGGAAGTGAAAATTTTAATAGAGTACAGAATTGTATTCTTAGCTAATTTTTTTTTTTTTTTTGGTCAAATTGCTAAATGAAATGCCCAAGCGACAAGATTTTTTTGAAAGAAGATAAGGATCTTTTGTGCCATTAATATAGATAGTAAGTTTGTAAGCCCAACAAATCTTTTTGAGGCACTTAAGCAATTTACTACAATTGAAAAAGCAACCTATTAATATGGATGTACCATGTGCGCAATTAGATAGACTCCAAATTCTCATGACTTTTCTAACTCTTGAGTAGTTGCATCGGTGCTTCGTTACTTTGTGTAATAGAACTAAAAATTAATCTCTTATAACATGCTTTAGACGTAATAAGGTATGTTAAGCATTGATAATGAGTTAAAATAATTAATTCTTGAAAATGGTTAAATTTAGTAGCAACCCTTATAAAAAATTAGAAAAAGAAAAAAGAATGCATATACTTGTTTACCCAACTACTTAAGACAAATAACAACAAAATATACATGCAAATAATAAGAGAGTAACAATTTTCAAATTTTTTTTCCTTAAACTTAACCAAAAAAACCAAAAAAAAAAAAAGAAAGAAAAGAATTAACAACAAATATACAAAGAAAAAGTCTTCATGGTAAGTTGTTGATCTTATTGACAAAATCTTCTTTGTTTTCCATGTGAATCCCTAACTTTTGAAGTTTCTCGATTCCTAAAAAAAACAATAAATTATATATTTTTTTAAAAAATAGATAAAAAGTATCATTATTTTAACGAGAGAAATTAGTAGTAGAAATCAAAAAACAAGAATCCATATTCTACAACTAATTATTCACTAAAAAAAAAAATTGAGGATTTAATAACAATAAGTGATTATTATATTTTTATTTTTTTGCGTTAATTTATCATAAACAAAAATTTTCAATTAGACAAAATGATTAAAAATTTGATTTTTCTTTATTCAAAAATAATATAATTCTTTTTTGTTAAAAATAGAAATGGAAATGTGATTACACTTTTATAATTTATCTTATTTATTTATTTTCTTATTATTATTTTATAAAATTAATAATTTTAATAATAAAAAAATTAAAAAGAAAAAATACACTCAATTGCTTTTAAACATATCTTTATTAGTCATTTAAGATTAAATAACAACAACTAATCATTATATAACCAACTAATTATATCAATCAAAATCCACTATTTACTATCTGTTACCTACCATCTATTATCTATTAATCACTACCCTCTACCCATTATCACTATCAGTTGTCTACTTTCACTTATCCACTGAATTTTAATTGATATACCATATATGCCCCAAGATTTGTTCATTTTTTATTTTATTTTTTAAAGAATTAATGATATGGTACAACTACTGCACGAAATACCTTCTCCTCCGTCATAACCCCTAGACATTAAGGTTTTATTACCATATCAGTTAGATTCTATGTATCTATGTTGCCTTAAACTTTCTATACTTTTGAAGTTAAAAAAAAAAAAAAAGAAAGAAAAGAAAAAGAAAAAAGAAAAAGAAAAAGGTAAGAGAAAAGAGTTGGGATTCACTTGAATACAATTTTTACACACATCACTTATAAAATATTTTGACCATTCATCTTTAAATTTTCTAGTTGAGATTTATCTATTTTTATTATATTTTTTAAAGATAATTGTCTTTTTTTATAAAAAAAATATAGTGATAAATGAAGTAGGCGGTGTGTATTCAGCAAAAACCTCATATAAACCCCAAGAGTTGGATCCATTGGTAAGTAAATGTTATCTTGTAGACTAAGTTCAAGGTTCAAGTCTTAGAGTCAGTACCTAGGAAAATTAATTTCTTTAAATATACCATGCTGACGTAGGGTGAACCCTTAAAATCACTTAAAGAGGAATTAGTTTGGAATTATTTGAAGAGGGATTAGTCTTTAGATATGCAAAAGCAAACCTGAAGAAACCCTAATATTAAATATGAAAAAACCTCATACAACTTGTTATTCTCTCTATTCAACTTTAGTAAAGTTAATATTTAATTTAAGGTGCCTAAATTTAGAGAAATGATTTGTACACCAGGCAAAGTTATCCACTTTGTTATACATTGACAGTTTTCGTTACTTGTGTCATTAAAACTAATAGTTTTTGTTACTTGTGTCATAACCCAATTTTAATTGGGGCTAAGTGAGAAAAGTAAAAGTTCGTGGACCATTTCACAAAAGGTGTAAAGCTTGAAGGGCTGAGATGAAG